CACTGATCGTTTGACAAAGAGAGATGATTGCTCCGTCTTTGTTTCACTTTCATCGCGTATGTGTATAGTATCCATGTAGACACACCTAGTATTGCGTGTACACGGATACAACTGCTGATCAATAGACAAAGAGAGATGATTGCGCCGTCTTTGTCTCTCTTTCATCGCGTATGTATATAGTATCCGTGTAGATACAACCTAGTACATTGTGCAATGGATATATAAATGCGCTGGAAAATATGTTAGATGAATTATTCTATTCTTGTCTTTTTATCGTGTCGATGACACAAAATATCGATAGCAATTACAGTTAATATGTATTTCTTTCTCTGACATTTGATTCATAAATACTATTATCAATCTGTTGTAAAAAAAAAACAATAATGAAATAAACAAACTCCAACTTTTTATTACTTCTATATTTACATAAACATATAGGTGTACACAAAATTAATAAAAAGTTGGAGCCTTATTTTATTATTTTTTTTTTATTTTGATCGAAGACCGAAAAGTATAATTTTGAATTAAATATCGGAAATATATTTCAACTCTAATCGCTATCGATACTTTATGTGTCGTCGACGTGGCAGAAAGAAAATAGCATAATTTGTATAACATTTTTCAAGCATAATGTACTAATTGTAAGTTGTATCTCTATATATATATATTAAAATTTGAATAAAAAAGAATTATAAATAAAATGAGACGGTCAAATGAGAGCCGACGCGTTGGATGAGGGGCACCAAAAATATATTTCTGGTATGTGTAATTGTATTTATTAATTAGACGTTTTCGGACCGAAATATCTAATTAATAAATACCATAACACATACGAGAAATATATTTTTGGCACCCATCATCCAACGTGTCGGCTCTCATTTGTCCGTCTTATTTTATTTATTTGTGAATATTTATTAAATATTTAAGTCAATTACCTAATATATTAAATCACCTTTAAAAAATAATTATAATATATCAATATATAAAATATTTATTCTCTGTTATTACATCAATTTATATAAACTATTTGGATTTTATTTCTCCATCCTCCCCGGTCTTCCCGACCTTCTCGGCCTCCTCGGCCTCCTCGTCCTCCTCGTCCTCTACGGATATCACTAGAGCTATACGCAAGGAGCAGCTAATGGGGACATTTTTCTAGTAGTACACTGATCGTTTGACAAAGAGAGATGATTGCTCCGTCTTTGTTTCTCTTTCATCGCGTATGTGTATAGTATCCGTGTAGATACAACCTAGTACATTGTGCAACGGATATATAAATGCGCTGGAAAATATGTTAGATGAATTATCTATTCTTGTCTTTTTACCGCGTCGATGACACAAAATATCGATAGCAATTACAGTTAATATGTATTTCTTTCTCTGACATTTGATTCATAAATACTATTATCAATCTGTTGTAAAAAAAAAACAATAATGAAATAAACAAACTCCAACTTTTTATTACTTCTATATTTACATAAACATATAGGTGTACACAAAATTAATAAAAAGTTGGAGCCTTATTTTATTATTTTTTTTTTATTTTGATCGAAGACCGAAAAGTATAATTTTGAATTAAATATCGGAAATATATTTCAACTCTAATCGCTATCGATACTTTATGTGTCGTCGACGTGGCAGAAAGAAAATAGCATAATTTGTATAACATTTTTCAAGCATAATGTACTAATTGTAAGTTGTATCTCTATATATATATTAAAATTTGAATAAAAAAGAATTATAAATAAAATGAGACGGTCAAATGAGAGCCGACGCGTTGGATGAGGGGCACCAAAAATATATTTCTGGTATGTGTAATTGTATTTATTAATTAGACGTTTTCGGACCGAAATATCTAATTAATAAATACCATAACACATACGAGAAATATATTTTTGGCACCCATCATCCAACGTGTCGGCTCTCATTTGTCCGTCTTATTTTATTTATTTGTGAATATTTATTAAATATTTAAGTCAATTACCTAATATATTAAATCACCTTTAAAAAATAATTATAATATATCAATATATAAAATATTTATTCTCTGTTATTACATCAATTTATATAAAATATTTGAATTTTATTTCTCCATCCTTCCCGGCCTCCCCCACCTTCTCGGCCACCTCGGCCTCCTCGTCCTCCTCGTCCTCTCCTCACCCGACCATCCCGTTCATAATAATACGGTGGTGGTGGTGGTGGTGGTGGCGGTGGCGGTGGTGGCGGCGGCGGCGGCGGCGGCGGCGGCGGCGGTGGTGGTGGTGCCGGTGCTTGTGAAGCATGCTGCGCCTGCTGTTGCTGCTGCTGTCGCCGTTCGCGACGACGTTGGCGATAACGCCGTCGTCGTTCTACATGAACCACCCGGTCATTTTACCGTGGCACTGAAAGTGGATCTGGCCATGTAGTTCCGCTCGGCCATAAAATGGATCCAGTTAGCGCTACTGTACCGGCTAGTTAAAGCGACGTAAGAAAAACGCCGGCGTGGCCCCTCTCAGGCTTCTCTCTGGTATCAATTCGCATCTAGCGCGGCGTAGGACTAAATTTAAGTCGATGGAAACGTTAAATTTGATGCGCACCGAAACAGAATCGGACCGATGACTTCGGTGGAAACCGCGGTCCTACGCCGCGCTAGATGCGAATTAATACTTCGGTGGAAACTAGACCAATGTTTGTATTACAGATTGCATCGTTACTATTTTCTTCTGTACACGTGACTTTCGTGTCACAGAAAGTTTGTGCAAATATCTATTATAATTAACATATTTTACAAACTTACTCCAAGCTTGATTAGTAGCAAATTCCGTTTTTCTTATACATTCTATGTTATATTTACCAGTCTTTAGGAAAATCTTTTCCATATCATTACATCGTTTTCTGAAACAAATGAGTTTATTTATACTTGGTAGTCAGAGCAAATTATATATAATGTTTTTTTTTTATTTTCGTGTCTATTTCACCTTTTTCGACTGATATTATTATGTGTTACTGTATTCTCGACAACTATTGGTTTAGCCAAAATAAGATTGTCATGTTGAATTGTTGAATTGTCATGATTGTCGATTGTTGAACATCTATTGCCGATTGATGTTGGATATCCATTGTTGATTCATATTCAATATCTATTAATGATTCATTTTGATTGTTATTTTGAATATTGCTTCTTGTATCTTTCTTGGAACTTCTACAAGATCTGTTGTAGAAAACAAAAAATATAGGCGGTCCTACGCCGCGCTAGATGCGAATTAATACTTCGGTGGAAACTAGATCTCCTGTGATTCTTTACTCATTGGTCGATACAGACCGGGTTGGTGTGCTCCGCAAAGGTTAGAGAGTCAGGGAGGGAGATGGTGCTGTGTCATGGAGTAACCACGTAGCGCGGCGGGAATTTTCAAATATTCATTTTGCACATTTTGCAGAAGGCAATGATCAATCTACATATTTTGCTAGACGGATTTTTTAAAACATCAAAAAGGTGGTGGTTTGAGGATCAGCCGAGTTAGTAATAGCGGTTCTTAAAAATGAGGATTTGTCTCGCGTATTGGGGCAGCGGAATACAATATGGTTAATATCCTGGGACGGATCCCTGCCGAAAATGGTCGATTAGAACGGATTAAAAAAAATGTAATCCGGATCGATCGGGATTTCTGCACCGGAAATGCGGTATTAAAACCGATTGAAAATAGTCAAATCGAATTTAGTACGCTTCAGGCGGGTTAATGTTGGGTGATATACATCCATCTCAATCCCCCTACAGCACGATATATTGATGGAATATTGCGGGAATATTGTTTTGCAAGATTGGAATATTGCATGCAATATTTCTGAAAGCTTGCCACAATATAGATTTGTCCGCTCCCAAACTATATTGTGCAATATTTTTGCAATGATGCTGATATATTTCAAATCATATTGTATATATATTTCTGCAACGTGAATACAATATTTACAAAATATTCCAGAATATTTCTTATTTTCATAATACTAAGTATTCCCAGATAGCACAAAAGTCCGAAAGACGTCGCAAAGATGTCCAAAACATCTTTACGACGTTATATCTTCAGACTTTTGTGCTATCTGATAATAATTATTACACACAATACACAAGATAAAAATGTTTATTACTAAATTTATTATAAGAAAATACAGTAGTATTATACTTGTAAATACATATATTCATAATACAATATATACATACAGTAAGATATATACATTAAACAAAATATAAATATATATATTTTTGTTTTTCATATTTGTATAGATCTTAACCCGTAAGTATAGACTTTATTTAAAAAAACGCTTTTTACTTTTTTTATATACGACAATTAAAAAACCCATAAAATTAATTAACATTTAAAAAAACCGATTAATATAACTTTAACAGTAGTATGTACTACTTAGTCTACAGCTTGTCAAAAGTAATGTCATTACTACAAGTAATTTATATAGAAACAAAATTGTTGCTTTAAAAATGTTTCAAAACACAAAAATCTAAACTGACCAATCATCACATAATGTGATTTTATTAAAACAAAGATTGTAGTTATATTCAAATAAAATAAGTAGAATTTTCTGAGAAAAATAGATGAAAAACTTGGGGAAGTATTTATATCATTTATAAACCTTGTAAGACTACAATATAGACAGTACGGTTGACAAACATAGCCTTTCCATATATTTCACTGACAATATTAAACTTTTATCCTGTATTATAAATTAGGTCTCTTCACTATTTTTGAAACTTTTATGATTACCGAAAGGCACGCTGAAGTTATACAATATTTCTTAATTCTTATTTTATTACTCAATGAAGTAAATTTTGCACGTTATAAGAGACAAATTGTTTACCACACAGAACATAAAAACTTTTCATGAACTAGGCCAGCAGTTCTTCAGTATACTTAATTATTGTGTGATTTTTATTAATATAGATTTTATATAAAACATGCATTTAAGTTAGTTTTACCCCAACCGTTCACTTACAGACTTACAGATTAAACAGTTATATTATTAGTTCTCAATATTATCTTCATCCTCACAGTGTTCACGATCTTCGGGAAAATTTTGTCCTTGTAAGTGTATTCTAGCCTCAGCGCGCTTCAGACGTGTTGGTGCTTGAGCAAGCCATGTCGAAACAGCTTCTACTATTTGCGCGTCAGTACAGCTTTTCTCATACATTATATGTACAGTTTCTAAAATAAAAAGACAAAACTCTTGAGATAATGACATTATCTTTGTTTACATTTCGATATCAATAAATATAGAAATATACTCATTATATTATTTTATTCAGAAAATACATACTTATTATCAGTTTTGATATTCTAAGCTCACTAAAGACTTTTTTTCCTTTTCTTCCATGCCAACTATATTTTGTGGCAAGTTTATTTGCAATTAATTTTCCAAGAATTGCATTTGTTGCTATATTTATTTTGTTTCCTCCAATTATTTTCAAAGAGAAACTCTGTAAAAAAAGATTATTAAACATATAAAAATATATTTGTTATAAAAACTTCGGAAAAAGAAAAAATAGTAGTATTTAAAGTGCATGCCTAAAAGTAGTTACACTGGTACTTTATTGTTTTTCAGGAATAGTAGAAAACAGTTTACTAAAAAACTAGTTTATTAGAAAAATTAGTTTATTAAAAAACCTGCAGTTTGTAAAAAGGAGAACATTACTTTTAATGCATTTTTTATTTCGAGTTTATATCAAGATAGAAATAATTTTGATTTGAACGTGTTTGAATTAAATATAATAACGTTAATATACACATATACAATATACTTTCTATGAAAACTTTAAATATTATTAAATAAGAATAATTGATTAAATATACTAATACCTACCAATTAATATAACAATAGTTTGTGATAATATTCCTCTTCACAAATTGCATTCCAATGTAATGATAGGCAACTGTTAAATAATCAATTAATTACTATTATATGTTGTACCCCGACCAACTTCTCAAAATATTAAAAGATAAAACAATAAAGTAAAACAGAAAGATTAAGAAAGAGCTGAGTAAAGATCTAAATTAGAAAAGAGCGGCTAGAGGCACAACATATAATTAATTTTTATTTAATAACTTACCATTTTCTTGAAAAACATGGAATTTTCTAATTTTTTTTCAAACTTGAATAATTGTTTTTCTGTTTGGAAAGGAAATGCAAACTCCTCTTCGTTATGTTCTTCGATTTCTGCTTGCTTTTCTTTAATTTCTATTTTGCTTATTCTGTCATCTAGACTTTTTGTTCTTCTTAATAATGTTACCATACTTTTGACCATAAAATTCCTAAAATCTAGACAAAAAAGTAACACGATCACTTTTTATTAGGAAAATATTCGCAATGTACTTATAAGATGACTTTATAAGATAAATTTTACCATTAGAAAATAGATCATCAACATTACAGTCAGACTGTATTCCTTCTTTAGAAGAATTAAAGTTTCTAAAATGGTGCAATGTACAAGGAGATGTAGATTTATTTGGCGTATAAGGCAGAGTTTCGCTACCTACAATTTAGTAAAAGTTTTCTTAATCTTCTAAAATAAAAACTTAATCTTTTAAATAAAAACTTATTTTAACATTATTTTGTGCATGATATACAGTTTTAGATGTTGTAGCTTCAGATGATTGCGATGATAAAGAAAATACAGGCGGCTTGGGCAATGATGGCAATTGTGAAAGATCTTGATGAAATGTTCTTCTTTTTGAATCTTTATGATAATGCTCTTTGGGAGATTCTTCATCTTCTGAAGAATGGCTGCTGTACTTAATTTTTTTAGCATTATCTCTCCTTTGCTTCTTGTTTCGTGATCTCCATTCTTTTTCTGAGAAATCATCAGAATCATACACCGTCGATGCTTCTACTAATTTCTCTTGAGCTCGTTCCCAAGTATCTTACCAAAGAAAAGTGTTAATGTCTAGTTTTTATAACTTATTTAACTTATTATATAACCTATTTTAGTATAAAAATGCATAAATTTTATAAAGATATTTGAAGTTAATAATCTAACCTTATAGAAATATAAAACATAAGCTTACCTGCTGAGCCAAAGATTCTTCTTATTTTGCACGTATCCCATTTATCAGTTTCCATTGGAACCTCTGCTTTTTTTAGTAATTTGTCCAAAGCCTGTCGAGATTTGACATAGCTTGGCCAAATACTTTCATTGTTTTGTGTGTTAATCCAACAAGATGGAATTATTTGTAAATCATCATGAAATTCTACAATGCTATACTTTTTGGCGGTTTTGACATTATTTTGAATACTTTATTTATTGCACTTTGGAACGAAATCTCTGAAAACAAATATTGTACACATAATTACTCAATGTTGATGCTTAGACTCTATTCACACCAGCTTATATTCGACACGCACTAACTTGTATCTGCTTACATCATTGCTCGTTAAACGTTCTTCTTCTTCTTCTTCTTTACTTTTTGGCAAGGAACAGACTTCGTTCGCTGTTCATGCTGCCAGATTATCGTCCTTCTTCAGTTCTCCGAAGGGGGGAGAGCGCACCCGCGCGCAGTCGTCAAGTCACCGTACGTCAAATCGAAACGTCGTTCTTTCGCAGGAAGGAAACAATGGATGCAATTATCTCGTAGGAAGGTTCTTTCAGGAGATCAAACACATCATATGGTGGGGGAAATCCCAGACTCCGTTGAATAGACCGAAGGAGCGGACCGCGATGCCCCCCGAGCAGCGGGCAATGCCAGAGATTAATGTCTTGCTGCGGAGTTCCACAGTCTCAGGCGGGGGACCCTATGATACCGCACCTGTTCAAACTGTAATTTAAGTTGTAATGATTAGAGCGAATGCGGCTGACTGTTACTATTTCCGTTCTATTTAGTTTAGACTTAGCAAACCAAGGATCAGGCAAGAAAGCGGGATGCAGCCTAAAGTATTGGGAGCCTTTGTAGGTCGCTTGGTCTGTCAAAAAGTTTTGAACCGTTTGAATGTATCTCTTTCGCGGGATGGCAAAGAAGTCCGAGTGAGGGGGAAGGTACTCCGAAGACTCGCCCCCGCCAACCGCCTCGCTGGCGAGGCGATCCGCGGCCTCATTGCCTGGGATGCCGACGTGCGCCGGTATCCACGCAAGAATTATGTCCATCCCTTGGAGGAAGGCCGATCTTAACTTGTTTTTCAAGACTAGGACTAGGTAATTGTGGTCTCTATCGATTCTATTGGACGAAACTA